GATAAGAACTAGCTCCCAGCTTCATTGATCTGTTCTATGGTTTTTAGTCTCTATTTCATTTATTTCTGCTCTGATCTTTATTAGTTCCTTCCTTCTACTGGATTTGAGCTTTGTTTGTTTAGGTTGGTTTTTTTTTTTTCCAGCTCCTGTAAGTTTAAGGTTAGGTTGTTTATTGCAGATTTTTCTTGCTTCTTGAGGTAGACCTTTATTTCTATAATCTTCCCTCTTAGATCAGCTTTTGCAGCATTTCAAAGATTTTGGGCTGTTGTTTTCATTTTCATTTGTCCCCGTGTGCTTCTTTTACTTAAGGACACACTTTTTTTTAAAGATTTTATTTATTTGAGAAAGAGAGAGAGAATGAGAAAGAGAGAGAGAGAGCATGAGAGGAGAGAGGTCAGCTGGAGAAGCAGACTCCCTGCTGAGCAGGGAGCCCAACATGGGACTCAATCCTGGGACTCCGGGATCATGACCTGAGCCAAAGGCAGTCTCTTAACCAACTGAGCCACCCAGGCGACCTTAAGTACACATTTTAAATGGCAGTTAAATGCAACCTGTAGAGTACAATCAATGTACTTAATTTAATAGGAACAACCATGATTGAGTTCGTGCCTGTGCAGCCAAATCACCACCATGCAGTTCCCTCCACCCCTCACCATCAGAGAGTGATCATAAGGAACATTCCATTTCAGAGTTGTTAAGCTGAGGAAAATTATGTTTCTTAGAATGAATGACTCAGGAAGTATGAAACTGTAAGTGAGCAAGAGGGAACCCAGCCTAGCAAATGCTGAGTAAATTATACCTTTCTTTTGACAGAGGGGCAGGTGTTGGTAGACCAGTATAGACATTCAGGTGCTCACCATGGGATAGTCATGGCTTTCACTGTTTCCTATATATCACTGCTTTGAGTTGGGTCATTTTATCTTCATCTTACAGATGAGGAGATTGAGCTCAGAGATGTTAAGTAATGTGCCCAAGTTCTCAAAAGTAGGTGACAGAGCCCAAATATGAACCTAGATGTGTCTGACCCCAGAGTCCTTTATATTCCCACTATACCAGTTTCCATACTGGCCTTAAGGCACTTTAGTCCTGATGGTGATTTGGTTGCAGTTCACCTGGCCCAGGTAATCCTGAAGGGATTATTTAAGCCAGAATTTGATGAAGAGGAAAAAGTATTGTCTATAGTGACAGCAAGCACAATACGGAGGACTCTACACAAGGGATAACATAGTGAGTGTAAGCATATGTAAGTATATTCATTCATAAAACTATGAACACCAGCTGGAAAGTTAGTAATAGAGGCTACACTGGCTTTTTACAGGAAGAAAATAATTGGGCTTCTTATGACCCTCCATTTTACAATAGTTATTTGAGTCTGTATTTCTTCCTTTGTCATGTTATCAAATGTCTTCCTTGGCCGTAAGGGCCCAGGATTTCACTGTTTGACAGTTTCAGGCCGACCCTAAGCTATGAACTCATGATTGTCTGGCTCCACTCATCAAAACACTATGATTAGAATCATTGACAACAGCTTAGCTCAAATATGGATAGCAGCCCTCTGAGCATTTCACCCACACTGCTTAGGTAGAAAAATTCTTTCTAAGGCACGGACCTCTCAGGTATGAAATAAAATTAATAATTTGTACTGTTTTTCCTTTGTATGCACTTTATTTTCTATTTTTGTTCCCTTCACAAAAGACTTCATCATGAAAAGGAGGAAGCCCAAACTGAAATGAGTTAAGAACTTTGTCTCCAAGAGAGGACTGTGGCTTGGCCCTGAGTTGAGGTGAGATATGTTGGTGTGTACTGATAAGACCAGATTAAGCTCTACCTTGTCACACCTTCTCCTTCCCTTTCTCCATTCTCTCTCCATTCCATCTTGACTTACTTTTCAAGCTTTCTTTGCCTCTTCCCCTCTTCTGGGAACTCAGTGTACCAAGGATGCTGCTTACAGTGATCAAGTTTTCTAGATCTCCAGAGGAGGCTCATAAACTGATATGAGAGAGTCTGAGCTTTGAAGGACAAAAGTGTAAGAAATCACAGCTGTCCTGGAAAATGAAGGGTGGACAATTGCTGTGATTTTGCTTGTCACCCTGACCCGAAAGGCTGCTGACCTTTGTTCTCCTTCTGCCAACATACCTTGCTCTCATCAAAAAATGTTCTTTTCTAAAGATTTCTTGTTATGTTCCAGGAGATTCCCTATATTTTTAGGCCCCAAAGGTCCATCTGATGCTTTGATCACTTGCTATGTCCTCTGGTTCTCTAAGGCACCTTCACTGTCTGTCTACAAAGCGATGATAGAATAGATGCCTTGTGCTATTGGGTAAGTCGTGAAGGAGAGAAAACAGATGACGACAAGGCTTTCTGTGTTTTTTTCCTGTCATGCAATCACTATGAGGACTCTTCCATTGCTGTTGCAAAGCTCTTTTCTTGGAAACCTGAGGTGACTAAAGGCCTTTTCACATGTTAACCCTCAGACCTTGTTTATCTCTTCCATATCTTCTTTTACATCCCCCATCCTCTCCTCCATATCTTTTGCTTCCTCTTTCTTTATATTATTATTTCCATTAATTCTTTAAAATAATCACAAACAATAGAAATATGGCAAGTACAGTACAGAGAACTTTTTCCCCAAATCTTTTAAGAGTAATTTGCCAATTTGATGCCCTGTGACACCCAAATACTTTAGTTTCTGTTTCCTACAATCAAAGACATTCTCCTACATAGCCAAAATTTAACCATCAAAATGAGAACATGTACATTGCATAATATCATCATTTAACCCTGAAACCCCCATTCAAATTTTACCATTTGTCCCCTTAATAAACTGCACACCTAACAGATCCAGTTCAGAAGCACAGTTGCAGTAAGTTACTACCTCTCTTTAGTCTCCTTCAGTCAAGAAAGGTTTTTTAGTCTTTCTTTGACTTTCATTATGTTGGCATTTTTTAAGATCACAGGCCAGTTATTTTGTCAAATATCCCCCAAATTGGATCTGCCTGATATTTCCTAATGGTTGGATTCAGGTCATGCATCTTTGGGAGGGATATCACAGGAGAATGCTCTGTGCTTCTCACTGCGTCTTACAAGGTGATGCACCATTTTGATTTGTCCCATTATTAATAGTGTTCACTCATCGGTCCACTATGAGGGTGTCTGTGTGACTTCTTCACTATACTTTTTCCTGCTTTGAAATTAGTAAGTATGCTGGTGGAAGGTGCTTTGTATGATGTAAATTCTCTGTTCTTCACCAAACTTTTAATTATTCCTTTATTTATATCAGTATAGATTCTCATGGTTTCCTATTTTATGTGATCAATTCCCCTGTGTGTAACTAATTACCCTCCTCTTCTACCATCCTCTCTCCTGTTCAGACACTCTCCCCACCCTGCTAGGTTCTGATTTCTTATACTGCACCTCCCATCTCCCTGACAACAGAGGCCTTCTTGCCTCCTTTGGGTTCTGAGCTAAGGCTCCCCACCCTCCCCAGTACAGATTCCTGCCTCTCTTTGTCCCAGCTAATAGATCTAGGACAAAACTGTTCAGGAATAAAAGAGAATAGGAAGAAAGAGGACACCTTTTGGATTCTTTGGTGCTCCCTCCCTTTCCTCCTTTCCATCTGTCCTGACCTGTTCTGACCCCTCTCACTCTTGCCACTTCTCAAGTCCATCTTTCTAAGCACACAAGACAATATTGAACCATGGGCAAAGGCATAATCAGTCAGACTAATCAGACTGTGAAGGTTTGAATCCTGGCTTGGAGACTTGGGTAAGTTACTTCCCCTCTAGAAGCCTCAGCTGCATGGTGTATAAAATGAGCATCTTAAGAGTGCTACTTCATAGTATTTTCAGAATTAAACAAGATAGTTCATGTAAGGTCTGGTGCCTGCCACATATCAAACACTAAATAATTTTCACTCTTATTTCCCATCCCCTATGTGTGAGGCGGTGGTGGTGGTGGTGGTTTTATCTCCCTCTCTCTCTTTTCCTGAATGCTCTTTCTTTTTGTCTCATTCTTTTTATAATTAGCTTTACTGAACTATTTTACTTTCTTGCTTTTCCCGATTCTTCTTACTTTCCCTATGTTCATGTATAGCTGTGCTGAAGGGAGGCATTGAGTTGCCGCTAGCAGAAGGTCTGATGGGGAATTCCCATGCCAAGAGTCATTGCTCATAGGATGTCAGGTAGCTGTGGTCTCTGCTTCCTATGGCCCAGGCTGGGACAGCAACAAGATGCGTCCACTGCTTACCCCGTAGCTTGAACAAAAGGGAAAAAAAACCTCTGAGAAAGGACGGAGGTGAAACTATGTATTCGCAGAGGAATACAGGAGCAGCCGCTTGCCAGTTAAGGACCCCTCCTCTAACTGGCATGGGATTTGTGAAGAGGGAAGGAGGAGATCTTTTGAAAAGATGAACAGAATTACATTCTGAGGCCTTGTTCCCTTCTTGGAATTCTGTCATTTCTGGTCAATAAAAGGTGAAATCCAGTGATGCCAGCGCCACTATTTTTTGTTGAAGCAATTTCTGGAGAGAGCCAGAGCAACTGGCCACTATTTACCTCTCAACCAAGAGCTAAACATCAGTCAAGGGTGAATGGTCAGGAAAACATGTTCTCAGTTTAGTATGGTTTGATACCCTATTTACCAAAAAAACAAACAAACAAAAAAAAAGGGAAGGGTGGTAGTACCATTAATTACGAAGACAGAAAATGATGGTTTGCAGGATGTGGCACACATGTTTCACGACCTTCTAAAGAGGCTTTTCTTAATTGCCTTCATTAATTAGGGTTGCCAGCCCCACACCCCAGACTGCGTAGGACAGGGATCTTACCAATCATGTTCAGATATATCCCCAATGCCCAATGCAGTGCCTGGCATATCATAGATGTTGATAAAATTTGTTGACTCAATGAGTAAGGGAGGCAAATTTATTATATTAAATTTTCTCTGTATCTGTTCATTGTGTTCCCATTCCCTCGGCTCTCTGATGTTTGTATGTAAGCACCATGAAGAAGAGCAAGAGGAACCCTACCACAAGGATCAATGAGCGAGATGCCATCTCTGTCCCAACCTCCCAGGATCCAAGAAATCTTCAAAATATGTTGGATGGAGGAGAGTATGCCCCTTTTGTATCTCCTCCCATATTAGAGAGCAATTTTATCCAGGTAAATAATATTTGAGCCCTGAATTAAGTTCCAATAACTTCAGTGATTAGTTTTCTCAAAGAAAATGAGAATATTAAGAGGAGAATTATTCTAAATGTGATAAAGGAATGCATGAGACAATTAAAGGGAACAATTTTGGGACTTTAACCAACCTAAAATAATTATAATGTTAAAGGAAAATTCATTTCAAATTTTCCCAGCAAACTCTCACCTAGGAATTCTGTTCTAATGCCATAATTGTCATTCTATCATAATCTTCCCAAGATGTCATGAAGAGATTACAGTGAATTCAGAACATCCTGACATAGGAAAGCATTCAGATAACTCCTTTCTTAGATCTAGAAGACATTGTAAAGAATAATATCTATGACACAACTGAGTATTATAATGAATTTTGGCTCTAGTTCTGAAAGTAAAAATTGTCAAATTGTCAGGAAGAAGAGATTTCTTCTCATAGAAATGTACCAACATCATGAATGAAACTGCATTTCAACACATTTGAGAGCAGTTTTGCTTTCCCTAGACATTCAACATTAAAATCTTCAGACAAATGGGGAAATGAGTTCACTGTTATAGGCTGTACCCTTAAACTCCATAGTAAGGCCATGACCAAGACTAATACAAAACACCCATTCAAGCAGCCCCTCAGCTGATTCTACAGAGGGGAGACAGGGAAGACAACAGACACTTCTTCCATAAACGTGTTCTCTGCCCTGATGACTGGGTTCTAGGGAGACCTCCTCACCCTCCAGAACACCAGAGGCAGGTGTTTAAAGAACACTAATGTTTAAGTAATGCCCAGAACAGATGTGATAAGTAATGATTTGATGATTTTACCTTCTACATGTTTCTTTCCTACTGATAATCTTCTTAATTTTTCACACTTCTTTCCTACCCCCTTTTCAAACAACATTTTGCATGTTCTAACGAACCCTGAGGGGGAGGGAGGGAGACATGCCCCATATCATAATTGGGTGAGTTATAACCTTTTATGGTTAGCATGTCTTTGGAAGCAAGTTGCCACAGTTGCCCCTGACCCAACTTTAAACAAAAAAGAACAACAGTTATCTCAAAGTAAAAGAGCCACAGGGCATCGGCTCCCTTGCAGGGAGTCCTGGAGGACCCAGGTCCTCTCTTGTGCTCTAGCCCCCCCCCCCCAAGTTAGCTCCCCTCAGGACATTACATGCAAACAGCTGCCAGAAAGAGAAGAGGTGCTCTCCTCATAGCAACTTTTTGTGAGGACTGAGAAACCTTTCCCAGAGCCACCAGGAGGCCCCCCACTGTGTCTGATTGGCTGGGCCTAGGCCACATGGCCCTGTTGAAAGCAAGCACTGGCAAGGGGATGAAACCACAATGACCAAGGTTCATCAATATTTAAACCTTGAGCCAGAGCACCATCCCTCAGGGGCAGTACTGGATGGATTCTGGATTCTGTTAATCAGGCATGGTTCTGGGCAGGTCTTTAGTGTGGGCTACAACCTCTTTCAGAGGAGAAATATATATATATATATATATATATATATATATATATATATATTTGTTTTTTAAGTGATTTTTTGTGGTTTTGAGTTCATGTACAACTGAGAAAACCATCAAGTTTTGCCCCTCTCTGGCTTCCTTCACGTCCCTGTCTGGTTCTTTTCTTCCAACTATCAGAGACTTTACTGGCCAAGATTCTTGGACTTTGGGATTTTTGCATCTGCTGTTCTTCTGCCTGAAAAGCTCTCCTGTCCACCCAGCCAGTTTAACTCCCACCTTGTTCAGGTCTCAGCCAGAGGTCTCTTCCTCAGGGGCGATTTCTCTGACCCTGGTGTGCTGGAGCTGGCTGACTAGTAAATGTTCAGAAGATTTGTGAGTCCCTCATTAAACACAGATTTTATAAAAAATTTTTAAAGTTTTTATTTATTTATTTGACAGAGAGAGACACAGTGAGAGAGGGAACACAAGCAGGAGGAGTGGGAGAGGGAGAAGCAGGCTCCCTACTGAGCAGGGAGCCCAGTGTGGGGCTCGATCCCAGGACTCTGGAATCATGACCTGAGCCAAAGGCAGACACTTAACAACTGAGCCAACCAGACACCCCACATATTATTAAAAATTAAATCACATAAGCTCATATACTCAAACCTTATTTTTCCTATTATTTTACTACATTTTACTGTTTTTATGCTCTTTAGGTTACAGATATAAGAGTTTGACAAAGGTCAATGAAGACTGCTGTGAGAATCAATTGACTACACTGAATTTAAAATAAAGTTTTGTGTATATTATTATTTGTAAATTGTGTGTTACTCATCTTTTATATCATTAAAATATATAATAAACGTGTATATCTTCCAACAGGTATTTGTTACACATTTACCAGCACATCACTACCTGTATCCCCTCTTAAATCAAGTCTCTTCTTATATGACTCACAGCACAGCACCCTGAACTTGTACTTGGTAATATTTCCTGCAATAATAATTAGTGACACACTTGTTTAATGTTCACCTTCCCTGATAGAATCCCCATGGCCCAGGGACTGTGTCTGTCCATTCACTGTGATAATCTCCAGGAATTCGCATCAGCGAGTAATGGAACAAATGCATCATCACGGTTCATTTCTCCTTTATTTCCTGCACTGCTCAGGTAAGCACAGTTGTCAGGACCATGCACTTTAGCAGAAAACTCCTCTTCCTGTTCTCTACCCTAGGTTAACAGGAGAGGCGAATCCATTTACCTTCATAACCGAGCCAACTGGGTGACTGTAGGCATCTGCTCTTCCAGTGAAACCCGCAAGACCCCCAACGTGATGCTTCTGGCACATCTGACACCTGAAGCTCAGAAAAACACAAAATCCCTGTTTCAAAGTCTCCTGACATCTCCTTCACCGCAGAACCTGGTGCTCACCAGGTGAGTTACAAAGGGAAGAGGTTAAGGATCTCTCAGAAAAGATGCTTTACCCCTGAGAAGCTGAAAATAAAAACACCAATGACATTTGCTCCAAGGGAGTATCTCACTTGCGTCCTGCTACAAATGGCAAAGAATCATGTCCTTAAAGTCTAGGAAACAGCTTATGACAAGCTGGCAGTCAAACAGGTAGTTAATTTTTAAAAATCAGACCTAAGTAACAGTAACAGAAGAGTCATTAGAAACTGGCTGTCTAGAAGATGCTCTTCCTTCCCCAGCATCCCAGCTTCTATCAGAATTCACTCTGGTCTTGTCTCAAGCCACTAACTTGCCGTATGACCTAGAGCAATCACTCAACTACTCTCAGCTTTGCAGGATTAACAAAGTGGGAGAACCCCTCACGATAAATAGTTGATACTCTGATTTTTAATTAATTAATTTATTTATTGTTCATCAGAGTCTTAGGAGTATAATTTGAGTGAGAGAGCTCTCAGCAGCCTGGCTCCATGTACTAAAAAATCAAAGTTTTGAGGCTCAAAACTAAAAGCCAGATGCAGGAACATGGTGGCCACAAGAAGGTTCTGCTCAACCCTATGCCTGCCCCAGCCCAGGCCTGTCTGGAAGACGAGCCTGCTGTCCTTCATCTCACTCTGCAAACTGCTACACAACACAAAAGGAAAGGCCTTTTGGTAGGTCTCCAGTCGGGCTCCCAGATGACCTTTGTGATTCTTTTCAGGTTCCTCCCTCTGCAGTTTGTGACCCTTTCTGTGCACGATGCTGAGAACATGCGCCTCAAAGTAAAGCTGGTGAGTGGTCGAGCCTACTACCTACAGCTCTGCGCCCCTGCGTGTAAACAAGACACCCTCTTTTGTCAGTGGGTGGAACTCATATCCATCTTGAATGAGGAAAAAGCCAAAGTTTCCAAATTGTCGGAAGTCTCAAGCCTCTCAGAAATCACGAATAGCACCGACATCACGGGCTCGGGGGACATCATGGATATTGCAGCTTCCACAACCCTACAGAGCCCAACCTTGTACTTGTGTTCAGAACCTGTACATGCCGTAGAAAGCACTGATTTCTCAGATTTCACCGATGTCACCGACGTCACTGATGTCACTGACGTCACAGATGTTCCAGAAAATGAGGTCACAGAGGCCCCAGATATAAATATTGTCACAGAAGTCACAGAAGTCACAGACCTCTGTGACGTCCCAAACTGCTCGGAGGTCACAGTGGTGTTTGAAAATGATGACATACTAAGGGCCAAGCAAGAGGAAAAGGTAAGGGACATGGCAGACGTTCATTCCTTAATAATTAAGAATAAGAGTGATAACCAACATCACTCTTCTTGGTTAACTCCTGAATACTGCTTATCAAAATACTATGGAATGTGCTCTGAGTAACCTAATTTTAAATAATGGGATATTAGCCTTAAACACTGGTATAAAGGAGTTACAGGAGGTATCCTGAAAGAGGCAGGGACCATCCTTACCATCACATTTAACCCAGTATCAGAAGGCTATGGTGAGGGGCGCCTGGGTGGCTCAGTGGGTTAAGCCTCTGCCTTCGGCTCTGGTCATGATCTCAGGGTCCTGGGATCAAGACCTGCATCGGGCTCTCTTCTTGGCAGGAAGCCTGTTTCCCCCTCTCCCTCTGCCTGCCTCTCTGCCTACTTGTGATCTCTGTCTGTCAAAAAAATAAATAAAATCTTAAAAAAAAAAAAAGAAAGAAAGAAAGCTGTGGTGAGATGGAAGGAGCTTCGGGACCAGGATCAGAAGACCCGGGTTGGATTCTTGCCCTGCTGCATAACAGTTTGGCCAAACCACTGGAGCTGTTTGAGCTGCATGAGTTTCCTCATCTCCAAAACAAGGATATTAATGTCACATAAGGGCTATTTTAAGGTTCAAATATGTATAAAAGTATGCACTACATTGAAGGATGGGGTGATATTTCAATCGATAAAAGTGAGGATGGAAATAGAAAAATAAAGTGCCAAAAGAAGTGAGTGGGTTTAGAAAAGGCTAGAAAGTGGAAAAACACAGTGGTATCCAAGAATGGTAGTTCAGTTCGGCTGGAGCATAATTTATGTGGAAAATATTAGGTTATAGGATTGGAAAGTTGTTTGCAAACCTTGAATGCCAAATCAAGAGGTATGGACATTGCTCTCTGGGAAAACTTTAACCACAAAAAACCCTCTGTGTGAGGGAGTGAAGGAACTGTGCTTTTAGAAAGATTACTCTGATGATAGCATGGATTGTAGATAAAGGCATAAGTTTGAGGACCTACTGCTGGAAATCCTCCATGGGGCCCATCATAGAAAAATCACAAAGGGCAAGGATAGACATTTTACAGAAGAAGAAAACTGCCAATAAATACACTGGAGAAAGTTCAACCTCACCAGTAACCAAAGGAATGCAAACTTAGAAAAAAAGCCTATAAAACTGTTAATTGAAAGAATAAAAATAGTCAGTGTTAGTAAAGGTGTGGTCAACTTGGAAGTCACATAGATTCATGGCAGAGATAAGAATTGGCCCAAACTTTCTTGAAATCATTATGAATCAAGAGCCTAGGGGCACCTGGGTGGCTCAATGGGTTAAAGCCTCTGCTTTCAGGTCAGGTCATGATCCCAGAGTCCTAGGATCGAGCCCCACATTGGGCTCTCTGCTTGGGGGGGCTGCTTCCTCCTCTCTCTCTGCCTGCCTCTCTACCTACTTATGATCTCTGTCTGCAAATAAATAAATAAAATCTTTAAAAAAAATAGCCTAAAAAAGTTTATTCCCTTTGCCTCAGTGATTCCATTTCTAGGAATCTTCCTTAAGGAATTAATCAGAATGAAGAATGAGGATTTAGCTATAAAGATGTTAATAATACTATATATCACGTTTGTCAAAATGAAATAATGAAAATTTGGAAGGAACCTAAACACCCACCACAAGGGAGTCAATAAATTGATATAAATCCATGAAGGGCAGGTGCTGTATTAATCTTTTTCAGGAGCGATCATAGTATCTGGCAAGATCATAGACAGTCAGAACATATTTGTTAAGTGAAAGAATACTCTGTAGTTATTAAAATTGTTGGGAAATTTTTCTTTACCTGGAGAAATTTTCATGATTGAAAAAAGTTGAGTGAAAAATTAAATATGATCCCTATTACATAAAAGTACATGTATAAGCTCATAAGCAATGTGGGGGGGAGAAGTCATATTATTAACAGCAGCTTATTTCCAGATCGTGGGATTATAGGCAATTAATGTTTTTCCTCTTTATGCTTTTCTGTTTCCTACAATAAAATAACTTTAAATCCAAAAAAATTCAAGCAGTTTTACACACAATTTGTAATGACATGAGGAAAATGCTTTTAATAAATCAAGTGAACAATGTAGGATATAGAACTGAAATGTTATCACAAAGCAGACACATACAAAATAAAAGGACAAAAAGCCTGAATGAAATGTGCCATAAGTGTAGTTATTTCTGGCCAGTGACCCCAAGAAATAATTTTCTCCCTTCCACTTTATATCTTAGAGGATCTTCTAAATGATCTATAATAAATGTGTAAATATGTGTTACTTTCATTGATGGAAAAAAAAGTTTTTCCTTAAGGAAGAAGAGTACTATATTATTTTCCAGGGAAGTTAATAGAGGTGGTAAATGAGGCAGTGGCCATGGGAGGAATGAGGAGGTGGGAGGAGATAGTAGAGAGACACAGTGTTTAGAACCAGCTGACCCGTTGCTCAGAGGCCTAAGACAGATTCTGAGGAAGGCAGTGAGTGGCTAGAGAGGTGGTCCATTAATAGAACCCAGGAAACGAGGAGAACAGGAGAGATTTTACAGTATTAGTTTTAGGTGTGGGTTCTAACTCTTTTGAAAAATGAACTCATTTGCCTCAAAAGACATGACTCATGTCACCTATTAGATACTCTTTTTTTTTTAAAGATTTATTATTTATTTGAAAGAGAGAGAGAGCATGCATAAGCAGGGGGAGGGGCAGAGAACGAGGGGGAGAGAGGGAGAGAAGCAGACTCCCAGCCTAGTGTGGAGCCTGACACGGGGCTTGATCCCAAGGCTCTGAGATCCTGACCTGAGCTGAAATCAGGAGTTGGACACTTAACAGACTGAACCACCCAAGCGTCCCCTCACCTATTTGTTACTCTTAAATTAAGAGCAACATCAGATTGGGGAGTAGGTGGCAAGGTATTTCTAGACAACCTTCTTTGTCCCAACAATTCAGAAAAAGGAAATGCTGTAATTAAGTACTAATTTTCTGGGGTAAGCTGACAGGGTTGTACCCAAACACATGAGCTTCTGAATTTGCGGTGTCAAGTCCCAGACTATCAGCTTCCACACAACACCAAGCCTCATTTCCTCAACCTTGCACTTGTGAACTTGAGGGCACCCAGTAGATACAGAATGAAATGATTGCTGTATTAGGTATTTTTGCTCCATAAATTATCTATTTTTGTGCAATGCTGTCCTGTTACCTTATTCGCTGCTATTTATTTTCAAAGGAAAAAATGGGAAACACTCTGAAGCCTGGGTGTCTACGAGATACAAAAATTAAGAACGAGTTCAAAGAATCCTCAAAACATGTCACCATCTCAAATGTAACGCTGACTTTCCAAGGTGAACGATGTTTTCATACTACCTTGACTCAAGAAGAAAGTGACACAAGTTCATCCAAAGAGCTGAGCGCCAGATCCTCTGAAATAAGGACAACTGAATTTAAAAGCCTAGCTCTCAAGGCTGAAGAATCCAGGTATGTGAGGTGGGGAAATGCCAGGGGTGCTAAGACGTGAGGTAACATGAGTAAGTGTATGCTTTAACGTCTCTGCCGCTCTGGCATTTGTTGCTGAAGATTCTCAGCTATAGCTATGATGTAATTGAATGATGACCCAGTCGTCTCTTCATTCTCCACATCTGGTTTAACCTTGTCTAATTTTTATCCTCTTGTCAACTTCTCATACCCTTCAGTTCACATTCTAGGCTCTCTGGTGTCAACTGCATGTGTTGAAGAATATAGGATAGAAGCAGAGTGTCCACGTTTTGGAGTAAAAGCACTCGTCTCCCAGAGTGACTATGGGCACTTCTGCTTTTACTTTATACTTCTCTCCATGTTCTTCTCTACATATTTCTTATGCTTTTCTACATTTCCAACAAATAACTTCATCATCAAAAAAATACTTTCATAATTTTATTTCTTTTTAAAGATATATTTATTTAATATTTTAAATAGAGAGTGCAGGTGGGGGAGGGGTGGAAGGAGAGGGGGAGAGAGAGACAGAATCCTGGAGCAGAACTCCCCCACCCCCCACCTCCCCACAACCACGCCCCCACCCCTAGTTGAGCGCAGAGCCTGACTCAGGCCTCCATCTCACAACCCTGAGATCATGACTGGAGCTGAAATCAAGCATTGGGTGCCCAACCGACTGAGCCACCCAGGTGCCCCTGTTTTCATCATTTTAATACTCAAGTGCAAGCTGAATATGTGAGAGAACTGTTGTATTATAAAGATAAAAGTTAATCCAGTCATTTCAAAGTAACACTTAAAAAGAAACCACAGAAACACCTAGAGATTTAAATGTTTACTTGAGCAAGAATGAAATAGGGAATGTAATGAATTATGTCTAAAATCATTTTAAGTATAAAAAACAAACAGGAGAAAACAAATAAAAAAAAAGAAAGAAATGAGAAAAATTAAAAGTAATTTGAAGTGCTACAGAGTCTGGTTGATTCTTCAAAAAGAATGACAAAACAGGCAAACCACTGGACAACTTTTTTTAAAAAATCAAAGATTAGGGACACCTGGGTGGCTCATTAAGTGTCTGCCTTCAGCTCAGGTCATGATCCCAGGGTCCTGGGATTGAGCCCCACATTGGGCTTCCTGCTCAGCAGGGGAGTCTGCTTCTCCCTCTCCTCACTGCTCAGGCTTTCTCTCGCTCTGTTTGTCTCTCTCCCAGATAAGTAAATAGAATCCTCAAATAAATAAATAAATAATAAAATTAGAAATTTAAAAGGTCATCATCAATGAGAACAATAGTAAAATGTTACTGAGAAGAATTATATTCAACTTTTCTTCAATAACTTTGAAACCCTAAGTTAAATAAATGACTTTAACAAAAAGGCAAGGAGGCAAACTGGCACTTGAGAACATAGAAAAAATTTATCCAAGAGCTCCCATTAAAGAAAAAAAACACAGCTGTGATTTTTACTGGACAGTGTTTTAGACATTCTAAGAATTACCTCTATTTAATGTAAAGTTTTCTTTTAAATATAGAAAAATTATGTTATATTCTCCTAATTTTTTGAAGCAAATAATTTGTCTGGATTATAAAGCTGGAAAGACAACACAAGAAAGAAAAGTCTCGATTAATCCTCTTTAAGACAATATATGGTAAATTCATAGAATCTTAGCATGCAAAACGTAGTGAGCTTAATATAAAATTAAGGAAATATAATTTCCTTAATATAAAATTAAGGAAACTGCAGTATAAGTCATTATTTGAAAGAAAAGCAGAAAAAAATCATAGATACTTAAATACATTTGAGAGACTTTGATATTCTTGATAAAGATCCACAAAATGCAGAAAAGTTCTCCTTCAGCACAGTGAAAAATATTTATTCCAAACCGGAGCCAAAATTGTTTTTAATGAAGAAATTCTAGAAGTGTGCTACTTAAAACTTAGAGCAAATTAAGGATGTTCTTATTAACATTTCTATGTGATATAATATAAGGGAGTCTAGCAGTTGCAATAGAACAAAGAAATATGATGGATAAATATGAGATTTTTTTTAAAAAATCACTCTTTGCACATGGAAATTCGTATTTAGAAAATTTGAGAATCATCAAATATATTGGTTTATAAACAGTTTTAGTTAGGAAGGTCACAGATTATAAGATAAACTCACAAAATATTTTTCGTTTCATGATTTTTATTAACAAACAAAAAAATGCACTGAAAAAGAATGTGTTTTTCAAAAGCAGCAATAAAATTCAGATATCTAGTAAGAGTGATAAGAGATCTGTATATATGGAATTATAAAACTCTAATGGCAGAAGCACAAGATGACCTCAATAAGGAAAATAAAGCTCTCTACCTGGGCAGCTATATTTAAGACAACAGAGATGACAAGGCCTAAATTAATTTATAAATTTAATACAGTACCAATTATCTAAATAGCATATCTCAGAGAAATTATACAATTATAGAAAGTATGTGGAAAAAATAGGGGTAAGAATCTCAAGGAAACCACTGGGGCTGGAAAATGTCTAGAGGTTGTATAAAACCTTAAGCCATATTATAATTAAACGGCCATCAGAAACACCAGTGAAAAGTTTAGGATATAGAAATTATGATAGTAAAACAGATTCAAACTGATAGAGGTCTGAAAGAAACATGAAAAAAAGCAAAACTCTAGAATATGTTGGTTAAAGATCTATGCTGTACTACAAAAAATAATTTCAGATGGGTAAAGAGTCAGATATCTTAAAACTAAAATAAACTAGAAGAAAATGGAATGGTTGAATTGCTTCAGTTGCATAAGAAAGATCACTTCTCCTTTGAAGCAACAAAAGAAATTTTCGAGGGGCACCTGGGTGGCTCAGTGGCTTAAAGCCTCTGCCTTCGGCCCAGGTCATGATCCCAGGGTCCTGGGATGGAGCCTCACATCAGGCTCTCTGCTCAGCGAGGAGCCTGCTTCCCTTCCTCTCTCTCTGCCTGCCTCTCTGCCTACTTGTGATCTCTGTCTGTCAAATAAACAAATAAAATCTTTAAAAAAATTTTTTTCGATAGCAAAGTTTGATCCATTCATTCAATAATATTTACTGAGCACTTTGTATGTGTTAGGCACTAGGGGTACAGCTGTGAAAATAAGTTAGAGGCTGTTTCATTCTAGTGAAGAATATAGATCATACACAAACAAAATACATTATGCCAGCTGGAATGTACTGTGGTAAAAACAAAAATGAGTTACAGAATAGAAACAGGGCTTCGAGGAGGAGGAAGGATATCTTTCAGTGGTCAGGGCAGCTCCTCTGAGGAAGGGCAGAGATCTGAAAGAAGGGTGAAGCTCTTGGGGAACAGAGTTCCAGGCCAATTGATTATCTAACAATTATAAATATCTATCTCCCAAAAATCATTTTAAGTAAAGAAATTTTAAGTAAAGAAATACCAGTTCTAGGCCAATTGATTATCTAACAATTATAAATATCTATCTCCCAAAAATCATTTTAAGTAAAGAAAAAACATAACAGTGGAACAGGGAAAGAATAACTAACTAGATGATCTATAATGGTTTTACCTCCCATATCTAGATATAGCTGATGGGAATTTGTAAAGGATCCAATTAGCAAATGGGTTAAAGTTATGAGTAGAAAATTTACTCCAGAAGACAAACACTTAACAAGGAATCAATCTCACTAAAAATTAAAGAAATACAAGTTCCCCTGGGGATAAAAATATATGTTTATAAAAAATTAAAAATTAAAAATTAAAAAAAAAAGAAATACAAGTTAAGCAATTACCAGTTGGCTTTCAATTAGATGTTAACTGTAACACCGAGTGGGTCACTGTAAATGGTGGGAACTTTCTCAAGAGTGATAGCAATTCACACTACAAATGATTATACAGCTTGACTTAAAGGAACATGTGTCAAAGAAGTAATTCAAAAGGGAAAATAACTTAATTGAACACATGTTTTGTAGTTAAAACCTGAAAGCAATCCAAACCATGACTGGTGGAAGAAGAGCTAACCAGGAAATATTATGTTAATTTCGTGAAACAGCCGGTCCCCATTAGGAAAAGAATAGAGAATTTCAATAAAAGACCTATATGACTAATAAGGAACTGCAAGCTAGAAAAGTGAAATTCTGAAAAATGTATATACAATGGTATTTTATTTCTACAAAAGGATGATAAGAAACCACAGTGCTTGGGCATAGTTGGTGATTAATTAATATATGTTGTAGCTATTGATAGACGTTTCCATTAAAATTTTATTGTACATAACCATTATTATGATTACATGCATGTTTTAAAATCAAAACTGATGCTAAGAGACATTAATTAGAGCATTGAGGAAGACATAGCAGCTAGAGAATGAGCTTTGCTTTCAGACAACCCTGGGTTCAACTCCTGCTTCCTCTATTTTGGGGCAAGTTAAATTCATTTTTGTCAGACTTCAATTTCCTCATTTGTAACTAAACACAAAGAGGATTTACAAACAAAGCAAAAAACAAATTTTGGCTTCAAGCAATCCTCTTAAGCCCAACTTAATCAAGGATGGATTCTTTTTTATTGCATATTTGCATCTGGAACATAATTACTAGCTAGAGCCTAATTTGAGAATGTTCATTATGAATGGAAGATGTTATATCTAAGAACAGAATGGAATTCAGTTTATTCCTTGGATATTTGTAGGGTTAAGACAATACCCTGTGAAAGTGATAAGTAATTTCTTTCTATTTCTCTTCTCCAAGACCATGGATTTCAGTGACGTTTTATAATGGTATACTTTGGGAAAATGAAAAAGAAAAATTAAAGGATGAACTTGTTGAATATTTTGTCTTCAGATTCATTAGTGTTTACAATGTAAATTGAGCAGTTTCAATCTAGATGAGTGAAAGACTACGGAGACGTCTATAATATCACTTTAGGTCCTTTAAAAGTGAAGGATTTACTTTATGGAGCATTTATATTCCCTCTCATACCCTGACAATAGTGCTACTATGACTCTTCCCTTTGTTTTAAAGAAGATAATGTCAGGCTTCAATTTAATTTGCACCTATTTTTTTTAAAGTACTTTTACTTAATATTTCCCAGTCTCTGAAAAACTTTTATCGGTAAGCTCAACCTTCATGTCAATCACCTGACCTATTTGGTGATGGCTACATGAACACTTATTTGCCAACTCCTTAGAAAATTACAAATTTAACCTCTATTTCAGAAAGATCCATTGTAGACCTCAACCTGGATTTCTTTGCCAGGTCCCCCCCCCCTTTTTTTTTTAAAGATTTTATTTATTTACTTGACAGAGAAATCACAAGTAGGCAGAGAGGCAGGCAGAGAGAGAGGCAGGGAAGCAGGCTCCCCGCCAAGCAGAGAGCCCAATGCAGGGCTCAATCCCAAGACCCTGAGATCACCACCCGAGCCAAAGGCAGAGGCTTAACCTACTGAGCCACCCAGGTGCCCCTGCCAGGTCCCTTAAAATGGATCATAATTATGTCTTGATACATTAATCTGGGAAGCTATTGTATGAGGGTAATTATTCTTCCCTAATGTTTTATTTTACTCAAACAGCAATGCTTCCAAAAAATGTATTGAAATTGTAGCCAAGAAACAAAGATTTGGTGAAAATTAAATGACTGAAGTTTGTGTTTCAGATGCTAATGAGGTTAAGAAAACAAGTATTTTCATTATTATTATTAACTTTATAAAAATCAGGAATGCAGAAAACTTCTTTATCCAAAGGCATTTCTGAAAGTGAAATGATCTGAAAAACTGACAGCTAGCCTCTTATTTGATCCAGTGAACTATAAGAAATGCAGTTACTTGAGCAAATAGCTGGGCATGTTATTTGCCTGCAAAATTTCCTAACGCTGTCACCCTCCATCAGGGCCATAGAGATTATGATAAAAAGCCAGCAGAGGTGGGCACCTTCTAATCCCAGGCATCCAGAATCTCGCCCACGTCTCTATGAGAACCTATATTCCCAGCACAAGAGACTCTACGTAAACCCCTGATTAGCAGTAATTAGCTCAGTCTCAGCCCCAAATGAGTTTTCAGACACGGGAGAGGCAGTAGGAGGGTGATGCCCACAGCCTCACGGAGTGCCAGGTGATAGAGAAAATAAAAATAGATACTGTGTTATTATATACTATTCACTTCTATGGCTTTTACAGGTTGGGTAGCTGGCATGTTAACATAAATGTAGGTAAATTTTACTCTAAAATGTGTTATTATGTAATACCTTAGGCTGGCTAAACATGTTTCATTACTACCTACAAAACATTCAGAGAATGGCCAGTTATCTCATACCTAGTCATTCTCTTCTAAATATTTGTGGTTATGCTGGCAACATTTTGAAATGTGCTGTTTGCTTTTACAGGAGCATGAGAATTGACTCGGTCACCTCAGGTATGGAATGAATCCCTCTACGTTTCTTTGTGGCCTCTGGTATCCAGTAGTCACCTCTGGGTGCAGGAACAGGGTAGTCAAGAGCGAAGGAATGCGGCTAGATGTTTTGGTGCATTCCCTTTGCTCCACTCCGAGAGTCCCACAGTGCAGGAACCCTTCTTCAAAGCTTGTCCGCGTACTCTCTCTCAAGGAGCAGGCATCACAGCACTTTTGTCTGTGTGGGCAGAGTACTGAATCCGACTCACTGGGCAGGAACCACTCCCAGACCAGCTCTGCAGGCAGAACCCCAACAACAGGGCCTTTTGTCCTTGCCGATTTGGAAGGGAAGTGGTCTACAGCCAAATTTCTTGGTAAATCTAAACTCATCTAGCCCCTCTTTTCTTCTTTCTTGGGTCTTTGGCCTCTGCTTCTTTACCTATTCTCATGACTCAGCATCTTTTGACTTCTTAACAAGTTTTTGACACAGGAGTTGTCCTATAGGCAGCCGTGGACATTGTGTCCTCTTGCTTGCTGCTGACCCACCTCTCAACTGCTGTCTAAGTCGGGGGTTGGGGAGGGGGGGCGGGCCTCAGCTCCAGTCATACGCATCAAAGAACATCATGGAAGGAACAGAGAGGCCCATTTCACTGGACTTAAATGAAAAGAAAAAAATATTTCTCCTTTAAAACCCAAGACCATGGGAAGGGAATTCTTAGTCACATTTGCGAGAGTCCAACCCAAAAAGAAGCAAACAGAGGATAGGTGTTTCTATCAGTAGGATTTTTGTCTGTAGGCCTTCCCACTGGGCTTTAGTGTCCAAAAGTACCAGGTGAACTTCACTGAGATGTGGTTTTACAGTCCAACCTACAGTACTGAACCTAAGGACGGTGTAAGGAAATGCCATCACAGTTTAGAAGAAAAATGTAAAATCTCCTTTGCAGTATATAGCATTTTCACCTGTCAATTCCTACTCCAAATTTTATTTCCAAAAGAAATCACAGTTAATTGTTAGAAATTCCAGAGATGTCCAACAGGCAAGCTTCTTGCTTCCTAAAAGCAAGGATTAGTCGTGCCGCAGCCTTATCACTAATAGTTAATGAGCATGTTAGCATGTAATTAGTACAATAGCTAATAACATACACCCCAAAGCACTAGTTGTTCAAGCCTTGGGAATTTAAAATTAATGTAGAATGCTTATTTAGTTTCATTCTATATGTGACTGATTCTTTCACCTGTCTTCTGGCACAAACTCAATTTTGTTCAAATGAACAAGAATTTGATGCCCATCTAGTATATCTGAGGCTCTGTAGAGAGATTAAAAACAGGTAACAGGACATTGCCAGGTCTCAAGACATGCGCATAAATAACATAAAATGGAATCTTATGGGTGCTTTAAGAGAAGAACGTGGAGTGCCTAGTTTTAGCTCAAGAGAGAAAATCATGAAAGATTTCTGAAGGAAAGAGACAGTCTTTGAGTTAGGAAAGGGAAATAAGAATATCCTGGATATTAGTGTGAGCAAAATCAAAGAATAGGACCATGCTGGGCATATTCTATTTAGGAATAGTGAGAGAGGCCACTGGAAAGCAAAGCAGGAGCCAGATTCTGGAAATCTTGAGCCATGCTGGGCAGTTTGGAAAGTACAGTTCAGTAGGGAAGGAGGAACCACTGGAAAACAGAACTAACAAAATTAGTGCTGTATTTTGGAATGATTACTCTAACTGCCATCTCTAAGAGACCTGGAGGAGGCTACAGATAGGAAGTCGTTAGAATCGTCCAGGGTGAAAGGTGCCAAAGTCTTGAACCGGGTGTAAAGGAGTCGGACGGCAACAAGGACATGAATATGTAGTTAGCAAAGTTTGCTGACTGACTACCTGTGGGGACAAAAACAAACAAACAAACAAACAAAAAAAACCAACAACAACAACAAAGCAAAACAAACCTGAGGATGACAGTTTGGGAGACAACATAAGCAGGAGGTAATGAGTCCATGTTACATGCTGAGAAAAGGAATTCCAGGAAATCTGGAAGGAAACGATGAAGAAACCAGCTGTTAAATACTACATCTAGAATGAAAAGTCCCAGGTTTGAGTTCTAAATGCACTTCCTCTGTTCCACGGGTGTGAGGTCTCTGGACCTCAAGCTTCTTCAGCTATCAAATATGTGTGCATATAGATGAGGAATCTATATGTGCATGTTTAGTTGTCCCAAGGCCCTCTCAGCTGCTACGATGTCATAAGCTGATACGTGTGGGATCCTGGTGACCCCTCTTTGTAAACTCAGCAGGCAGCTTGAAATCAGGTTCTGGAAATCGGAGCTAAGCAAAGATACAGCCGACATGCAGTGAACTTCCACTCTCAGCTTGCTAAATCACAAGGGTGGTACAATATACAAATTTAGCTTGCAGTTGTCACAAAGTATTAATTATTTTCCCCATTTGTTTTCTTTCACATACTTTCTCATTCTTCCCACTTCTCTCTCTGTCTTCCCATGTTTCCTGACTTAGGCTTACATAGTTTTTCCATTTTCCCTCTGATTAGCATTTCCTTACCCGTTGCCACACTCCTCTGAATCACTTTTTTCCCCTTTCATACTTACTTACTCTCATTTTACACTTCCTACCCCAAGAAGAGCAAAGATTAGTAGAATCTTACTTCCTTGTCCCTGGAATTTAGACTGAATGTAGACGAAAAATGAGTCGGTGAATCTGATTTCTATTCCAAGCAGTTCCCGTAGCAATTAAACAAAACAAAACAAAACAAAACAAAACAAAATGGTACCATTAACCTATTCAGGTTCACCGTCACCCAACTCCTTTACACCCATGCCTGGGGACCATGGTCTCTTATTCATGTCTCAAATTTCTCAGCAGTTTGACACTTTTCTCCTTTCTGAGTAAGGCTTTGTCAAGGGGCATTGCACACATACTCTTTTTATGACAAGGCTACAAGGCATAGTCCAGGCTGACACTGTCTCTCTGGATCTGGGTCCATCTCTCCCTTTTCTTGACTTTTAATTTCTTACCTATCTAGGTATTACTCACCTTAGCTCTGCTGATCTCTTTGCGGGAAGCCCAAATTTAGGTTTACCTATGGTCCAATGGTATTTTCCCAAGATGGTAGGCAATTAGACAAAAGATAGAGAGCTGAGAAAGACCACAGGGGAAAATTGCTTATGAAATCTGGGGCATGTCCTCTCCATCCAAACCCATGTTTCTTTTCCACTTTTCTCTGAACTATTGCAAATCAAATTCCTTGAAATCCTAAGCAGCCAGGTTCAGTCTCTGTTTATGAAACACAGTCTAAATAGAGAAAGGGTGGGTGGACCCAAAAAGGGAAGCTGTTTGTGAAATTTAACAATGGGCTCCATTGGAAAGAATAAAGACATTTTTTTTATTTAAGACCAAATTAAGTTGTCTCTCCTTCTGTGCTTTTTTTCTCTCCTGTTTCTGGCTTTTTCCTTTCTTCCTCACTTCCCTCTCTCTTTTCCACTTTCCCCACTATTTTTCATTTGCCCTCTGGCTCCCTCCTCTTATGTCAATCTACTTCCCTCAATCTCATGCCTCATCTGTGTCCCCTTTTCTCAGGGGAATGGATGTGAGGAAAGGAAAGTAAAACAGGAAAAGAAAAGGCCAATGGAAAAAAACATGTAAGACAACCAAAAGGTAATTTTTATTTTTTACAGTTATAAATCACTGTAGCTATAAAGGTCAGATATGATGCTTGCACAAAAAGTTGTCAACAAATTGAAACTTTGAGCAGGGAACCTTATTACTTCTATTGTAGTAACAATAGAGGTGGAATGGGATGTTGAGGGTCTCCTGTGGTTTCTGCCCTAGAATCTTTCAAGGATCAAAATGTAATGTCAGCACAGGGGTTAGAGCCACCCAGGCACTCCAGAAATAGCTGTTATAAACAAAAATTTTAAGAAATTAAGGAGTTTCCTTTAACATCACTTCAACATCTAGATTTCAAAAATGAGATCTTATCTGTCCAGAGGATCTTTATTGTTAGAATAAGAAGAGAAGCTATATTAAAGATGCAATTTTACTTATTTCAATCACTTATTTTACTCATATGTAGTTTTTAATGTTTTATACTTACCAGTAATAACTTTTAAAACATTTTGTATTTTAGACCTTTGAATTGAACTAACTTTTCCTTTTTTTTTTTTTTTTGTTAGATAAATACAAACTACTAAACTAAAAAACAAGCATGGCTCAAGAAATAACAACCAACACAAGAGAAAAAAAAAAGCAGTGTCTTCCATGTGGCAGAAATAAAGGCTACTACTAATCAATCACTGAGCATTTAAGTTCATGCCAATCTAACTTCTTAAATCTTGGCTATTATAGTTGTGGATATCAATTTTAAAGGAAGGTAGAAAAATAGAACTATTAAGGTTTTCAATTCATAAACTCAATTTTTATCTGTAGGGCTTCTTTTCTTTGGGGTTGTTGGATAAATCTGTTACTCTCTTTGGTTTCCCTTTTCTCACTTGGACCTTAACCCAACACCTTGTTGTTTCTAACATTAAGCACTGTAAGTTTCTTGAAGGTGGGGACTGTGTTCATTCTTTGTGTTTTAAGTGTTGAGCACCTGACCTGAGAGATAGTATTTGCTGAATCAGTGAATGCCATTTCCAAACAGGATTTTAACAACTTCTACTCCTTTTTTTTTTTAAGATTTTATTTATTTATTTATTTATTTATTTATTTATTTATTTATTTGACAGAGAGAGAGAGAGGGAGCACAAGTAGGCAGAGAGGCAGGCAGAGGGAGAAGGGGGAATCAGGCTCCCCGCTGAGCAGAGAGCCCCATGCAAGGCTTGATCCCAGGACGCTGAGATCATTACCTGAGCTGAAGGCAGAGGCTTAACCCTCTGAGCCACCCAGGCGCCCCACTTCTACTCCTTTAAATATAGAAGAAGAACTATACATGGTCCCCATCCAAAGAATAATTTGGATTTTTAAAAGCCACCACTTACTCCTTTTCAAAAAGCTGCCAGTCATTCTACCATGTGCTTTGTGTGCCTTCTCAAGCTTCGCAACAATCTGAAGGGTGTTATTACTTTCCTGTTTTACAGACAGATGGTGAAAGTGGAGTTACAGAGGTTAAGTTACTTGTTCAAAACAATGCAGCTAGGGAAAAAAGATATATATAGATATCTATCTCAAATTTCACACTAATAGCAAATAGTACTGGTATTTCTACTGTGACCTGAGTCATAGCAAGGAATACATCTCCACTCCATCTTCTCCTTTCCGTCCCACAGACAAACCTCTAGAAATATATGGTCCAATATGGTAGCAACCGGGTATATGTCACCACTGAGCACTTGAAACATGGCTGGTTCAACTGAGAAACTGAATTTTAAATCTCTTTTAATTTTAATTAATTCAAATTTAACTTTAAAAATTGAAGCAGTGTCGAATATTTTTTGCATTAAACATCAGCATGTTGTTTTGGTAAGGCTACATTTTTTTTTTCACTTCAACTGTTGAAAATTTAGCATCTGAATTGAGATATACTTTTAGTATAAAATATACAGCAAATATTGCAGAGTTGGTATAAAAAATAGCAAAATAACTCAATAATTATATTGATAATGTGTTTAAATTATAATATTTTGGATGTATCAGGTTAAAATTTATAAATTAATTTCATCTGTTTCCTTGTACTTTCTTAGCTAGCTGTGAAATAATATCTCACAAAATTACTTATGTGACTCACATCATATTTCTGTTGGACAGGAAAATCCTCTACCCGTTCCCTTTGGCCCACATTCCCAGGGAACTCCTCCTCCTCCTTTCTTTGCTCCAAAGATGAAAAGGATTTTTTCCCCATTTCCACAATCAAGAGTGAAATAGTTTTCCACACAACCTTTATGGGATCACCATTAGGGCCATTTTTAAGTTATGGGTATATATAAACCAACAGTTTCTAATTTGGAGATGGCTGTCTCATAATAGAAAATGTCTCCTTGAGAGAGATTATCTGGAACAAATTGATTCTGTGGTGAAGAAAATCACAACTAAGACTATTATTACCTAGTAACGGAGTCCGTCAAGAAGCAGTGCCAGTCCACACCAAGTGTAGATGACTATGTGGAACAATTAGATCTCTCATATATCATGGTCCCTAAACAATCACTTCGGAAAACAGGAAGTTTCTTATAAAGTTAAGACATCATATCATATGACCAAACAATTCTACTCTAGATATTTACTAGGGAAAAACTAAAACATGTTCATAAGACATACGTTCAAAACAAGACTTGTACACAAATGTCCGTAGTTTTGTTCATAATAGCCCACATCTGGAAACACCCTGAATGCTCACCAACAGGTCAATGTTTCAACAAGCTGTGGTATATCCATACAGTGTACATGTAGTATATTCCTACTACCTAACAACAAAAAACAAATAATGCAACAACAACACGAATGACTCTTAGAAACATCCTACTGAGAGAAAGAAGTCAGATATAAAAAGAAAACATGAGGGTACCTCGCTGGCTCAGTCAGCAGAGCATGTGATGCTTGATCTCCAGGCCGTGAGTTCAAGCCTCACAGTGGGTGTAAATACATCCTACGTTATTTCATTTAAGCAAATCACTTTGCTTGTACCACTTTGCAATTAATTCCCTCCAGCCCACCTTCACCCCATACAACCACTGCTCTGATTTGTCTTTATAAATTGGTTTCACCTTCTTAAACAGGTCTTCTGACCCTCTCATTTTATTTTGGTTTCACCTTCTAAAGGTGAGGACTTTCCCATGAGAAAAATTTTGTAAGTCCCAGATATCCGTTTCTACTAAGGCTTTGCAAATTCCTAGTTAGAACTACTTCCTTCATCTGATCTGTAATTTCCACTGGAAACTGTTCCTGACTGACTTCCCTGATGCTGTCTCATGGCAGGGGTATGTATGCTTTGAACCAACACATCCATTAAAGGGTCACACATAGGGGCGCCTGGGTGGCTCAGTGGGTTAAAGCCTCTGCCTTTGGCTCAGGTCATGATCTCAGGGTCCTGGGATCGAGCCCCGCATAGGGCTCTCTGGTCAGCAGGGAGCCTGCTTCCTCCTCTCTCTCTGCGTGCTTCTCTGCCTATTTGTTATCTCTGTCTGTTAGATGAATGGATGAAATCTTTAAAAAAAAAAAAAGGGGTCACACATATAATAGTAATCTGTTAGATGTTAGAATCAAGATATGGTGGAAGTTCAGGAATAAAATGTAAGTGCAACTGATTTTGACTTTTGAAGGAGCTTTCTGCTTTATAATTTTCAGCTGTATTAATTAAATGAGGGATTATTACAGTGGCTGGAATGAACCATGAAGCATAGGAGGCACTGGTAATGAGCAAGTAGTTTTCTTTTCCCTTTTCTCTTTGCATTTGCCATGCTCTCTTCTTCCTTCCCCCCCAGACCACCTCTTAGGAACAAAAATAGTCATATTTAGACAGAAGTTATTCCTAAGATAGGCTAGTCACAGGCCAAACATTTGACAAAGCTGAAGTTTTTTCTTTGACTTTTTTGTCATCCCTATTCCACTTACTTATGTCTGTTTCTTTCATTAAGTCATTCATTCAACAAACATTTATCAAGTACCATCTATATGTCAGATACTGTTTTAGATTCTTGGAAATTGTAAAACTAAGTAGTGATGCATAAAATAAGGAAAGTCCTTGCCCTCATGGAGTTTACATTCTACTTTGGGGAGATAGATA